TGCTCCAGTGCAAACCCTGCCGTGTGCGTCCAGAGAAGACTACGTCCCCGCCACCCCCCGTAGCCATGCTCCTGGCCTCACTGTGTCGCGGGTGGAGGCTCCCCAGGAGCCGCCTATGGCCGATGGGATCCTGTCCTGGAGCCGCAGACACTTGTTTAGAGGAGAATATTTTTGCTGCCTTTGCTAGCTCTGCCTCCCTCCTACGGTGCCTCAGTGACTCCCTCTGGCGAGAGCAGAGCCCAGGGAGGTGGGGTACTAGGTGGGTCCAAATCCAGGCTAAACTCTGCCTCTCCGATGAGCTCTGTGAACTTGCCTGGGCCCGATGGAGTAAAATGAGAACACTCGGACCAGTCCAAAGCGTTGGGCCTGGGAAGCGCCTGGCTGCAGGTGTTGGGAGCTGCTGGCTGCTGTTCACCCCCAGGCAGCTGGGAAGGTGATTGCAGATTAGGACAAGTGTATAGGACGTGCACTTTGCTGCAGAAGGGCCCAAACTCAGCCACAACCCTCCTCTGCTCCAGAGCGGGATGTCCACGCTGCGCCACGTGACCGTGCATGCCTTCTCTTCGTGTGTGTGTCAGTCCGGGCCAGGGGGAAGGGGATCGCGCCGCCCCCGCACACAGCCCCACGTTGGGAAACACTCCTCGGCCTCACTGAAGCACTTGACAATGTTTATAAAGCAACCGGCAGCAAACAGCCTTCAAAGCACAGCACAAGTTGGTGTTTACCCGAGTGACTAACTATTTCTTTGAACCCCCTCTGGGTGCTGCTGCAGGATCTAACGACAAGCACATGGGAAGCGCTGTGCTCCTGCCAGGGCAGCTTTCGGGGGGCCACAGCAGGGCCGTGGTGAAGCTCAAAGTCACGAGGCTAGGAGGAGGGCAATGACCCTTTGCCCGGCGTGTGAGAAATAGTTCACAGGCCTCAGCATTGTGCGGCAACCTCAGCTTTCCATTTGAGCATGAACACCTCAATCGGAGATGTGCTGTCGCAACACATGGGCAAGATAGGGGTCATGTCCCCGTCTAGCGGCTGGTCCATTAGAGGATGATGGTCTATTACCGCCACCAGCTAACAGGACTTACTCCTTCAGCTCAAGTGGTAGAGGCCTGTAGTTTGGTGCTGGGTTCAAATCCTACTGCCAGCCAGTGCTCAGGGTTGTTACGGTGTTAGAGCAGGGGAGGGACACACTTTCCTGAATCCAGCTCCTCTGTTCAGTGCTGGCCCTGCCCTGGCCCTCTGCCAAGGGGGATCTCCCCCATCCTGGGCATCGCCAGAGACCTCTTTCCTTCCTCTCATGCTGAGTGCCCAGAGCAGCTAGCCCAGAATTCCTCTTGGCCATGGGGCCTGTATTCAGCAGTGGAGTTGAATATTCCCCAGCGCTGGCCCTGAGGCACATTCTCACCCTCAGCTGCTGCGTAAGAGTGTATCTGTTCCTTCCAGCTGGAGGCCGGCTAAGCCACAGGGAGTGAGAGGCGGGTAAAGGACTTCAGCGGGCCCAGAACTGTTCTCAAAGGCCCGGAGGCACTTCCACTGACTGCACTGGGCTTTGGCTCAGGTCTCAAGATCGTGGACGAAAACTTCATTGCCTGGGCTGGGACATTGGACACTAGCTGGGACAAAAGACTCGGCAATGCACTGGGCTGGCCTAGAGGAACTAACAGGGCTGTGGATTCTCTGCCGGCCTGGGGTAACGGGAGCAGGATTGCACAAGAAGTGATACTTTAAAGAAGTGGGTTTAATGCCCAGAGGAGTGCAGTGGAGATACAGTTTCTCTAAGCTCTTGGCTACTGTGGTGATGGGCCGGGAGGCAGTGACAGGAATGACCATCAGAATCCTCTTCGTCAGCCAGTGTGTCTCCAAGCCAAGACAAGTTCCCAGGAGAAGTCCCTGAGGTGGGGAACCAGAGCGATGACCCCCCTCCTATAGGTAATGCCAGCACGGGTTTGCAAGATCTGCCCAGGCCTCTTCCCCTGGCTGGCTGTCGCTGGTTGGTACCTGCATGCTAGTGGGATTCGAGGCTGGGTTTGCAAGTGCTGGTCTGAAGCCAAAGTCTGAGCGCTGTAAACAGCCCGCTGGCTGCTCCCGGCTGACCCGCGGAGGGAGGGAGAGGCTGCCACGCTGAACTGTAGGAGGCACCGGCAGATTGCTGCATAGCTGAGATTAGCAGCATGGCACGTGGCTTGAACTGTTTGCAGACTCATTTTGGAGGCCTATGGCCAGATCCTCAGCTGGTGCAGATGGCCATGGCTCCACTGAAGGCAATGGAGCTGCACCACTTTACGCCAACCAAGCACCTGGGCTCCTAGTGTACAAACTCTGCGGAAAGCCCCTTCCCTTCAGCGTGTGAGAGATCCTGGTACCATGGGGGGTGGGGACGCTCTCCGTGCCAAGCTCCGAGCGGTTTAGAATCAGCACATGTGGGGGTCTTACTGCAGCCCCCACTGAGTTCCAGACCCATCTAGGCTGGCCCTAGGAGCATCGGCGATGCAGAGTTATTTTAAAGGGATTAAAATCATTTTCTGTTTCATTTGACCTCACAGCATGAATGTTGTCCCCTTTATTCCCACACAATGGCTGCAGTTGGTGGGGTTTTGCATTGCCAGAAGAGCTGTGTCAGAGTTTTCTATTTAGCCGGGATGTCTCACTTCCTCCCAGACACACAATACACAGAAAAATCACCTCCTCGGTCATTTCCAAAGCGAAGCAGCACATTGTTCCCTTGGCTGCACTGTCTGGGCAGTGCGCATATGTCTGGAGTCCAGGCCAACACTGCCAGTTCTGCACAGTTGCTAGGTTTGTTTTCAAACTCTGTAGCTGTTGATCACACCTCAAATCCTGAAGCTTCCCCCTTTTATCCGTCATTGCTCATTCTGGGAAGTGTCGTGCTAGAGCTGGAAGGAAACGGCTTTTATCATGAAAACATGTTGTTCTTTTTCAACATCTTTTGTTCAAGGGTCATCCAGATCTTCAGTTAGACCTTGGAACTCGCTGCCACAGGATGCCACTGAGACTAGAAACTTAACAAGATTCAATGCGCAATTAGGCATTTACCTGGAGGGCAGGAATGTCCAGAGTCATTATGGTTAGTGCTGAAAGAAGGGTATTGGAAGGGAGATAAAACTCCAGGCTTCAGGGCTTAAACCAATCCCTAACTATTAGGAGTTAGGGACCTTCATGAGGGCCAATTATCCCACACGTGCTACTGCAGGTTTCTTATCCCTTCCTCTGAAGCAGCTGGTGTTGGCCCCTGTCAGAGGCAGGACACAGGCCTAGATGGACCCTGAGTCTGATCCAGTCTGGCAATTCCCATGTTCCTGAGAGTGTTACAAATATGAATGAATTAATCTGCTCTAGGGCACGTCAGTATTCCTGGAGTGGAAAAGTGTCTTGTGGTTAAGGCACTGGTCCAGGACCAAGGACATCAGGCATCATTGTCACAGACCCCTGTGTGACCTTGGTCAAGTCACTTAATCGCTCCGTGCCTCAATTACCGAGCTGCAAAACAGGAATAATAATTCTGCCTTGTCTATTTAGGTTGTAAGGTCTTTGGGGTAGGGGCTGTCTCTTACAATGTGTGTGTGCAGCAGTAGCTCAAGGGGGGCCGGTACTTGGTTGAGCATCACTGTAATACAAGTAGTAATATATTAAATCCATTTTACAGATAGAAGAAATGGGGCACAAAGAAGTAAGATATTTGTTCAGAGGTTACACAGCAAATGAGTGGCGGAGGCAGATGAGAACCCAGGGGCCCTGACTTCCAATCCCCTATTACAGACATTGCTGGCACCCTTTCTCCTATAGGGACATTGTCACACACACAGATAGGCTGACCAGACAGCAAATGTGAAAAATTGGGACGTGGGTGGGGGTAATAGGTACCTATATAAGAAAAAGACCCAAAAATCGGGACTGTCCCTATAAAATGGGGACATCTGGTCACCCTACACACAGACATTTTCTCTCATTTCTCTTTACCCCCCTAGAACAATGGCACAGAACAATTTGCTTTTTGTCGGAGTTGCTCTTGCCCTGATTTGTCCATCCGCACATGCCACCATTGCTTCCCGACTGGTACATCACTGTTCATTGCAGTGACGTCAGCACAGCTGTGAGAATAGTCTTTGTTAATTAACTTGGGCTTCCTCTGCTGGCTGGATCTACAGTAGCAGCAGAGCGAAGGCAGGAGACAGCCCTAAAATGACAACTCCTGCGCATGGTTTGGTGAATTTATCAAGTATTTCCGATTTATAAAAGATGGATGATCTAGGACACTTTCCAGGTGATGACAATGTTTTAAGGCTGGGAAAACGTGGGGCCTGTGCCTTGTCCTGGGCAAAGCTGACTGACAGAAGAGTCATTTTGCTATTTCCAGGGGCTTTTTTAAATTTTGTTGTGCAGGACATTTTGGCTTGTGGTTCTGACCTGGGAAATCGTATCTAGTCTGTGCGAGGGAGGATGAGCAGCACTGTCCCTACGCACAGCATGAAATCTCAGTAGCTACAATCACATCAATAGCTACTTAAGTCACCAGACATTCAATGAGGCCACTCGACGGGAGACATCTCTGAAGCTGGCAGCCTACAAGAGCCACGCCTACAGCTGGTCGCCGTCAGACGAGCAGTGATCGGGACTGGCAGCACTTTAAGTACATTCTAGCTAGAAATAGGCCAGCCCTTATTCAATGTAAAAACTACACTCAGTCATGTTAACGTTCTCAAAGGAAATAGGTTGCTATTAGTTTTTAAGCAAACAGGAACTTCCAGATATGTCCGTGAAGTAATTTTACCTGTCAATCTCCTCCCTGCAGATCTGCTGCCTGACCCCCTCCCCCCCCCATTCTGCCCTTCCAGGGCTCTGTGATGTTGTTATTCCTCCCGGCCTGCTATTTCATCCTGCACTTGTATATTAATTCTCGCGGAGTCCCGCTGAGCAATGTATGCACGAGACGTAAAATAACATTGATTATTCCATAAGGTTAATCTGTTCCTTTTCCCTTCCAGTTTGTGTGGGGGTGTTTGGAAGCTACAAGCAGCTAACGCTCACGGCGTGGGAGCCCCCAGATGGGACTAGATCCACGCTCCGGTGCTCCTTATGGGGTTGAAGGTAGACTCATGTTACCTACTACCTAAGTTTTCTGTGGCTGATATTATGGTGTGCGGATATGGTCCTGTACCAGGCATCGTGTACAGACTTTCAGTCCTGATCCAGCCCAAGACACACTAGCAGGAGCAAACCCAGACACCACGCTGTGGAACGGACTCTCGATCACCCTGCAGTCTAGGCACTGGGAAGTTACTATGCAGCTTGGACTGTTTCTGGTGGTGGTTTTTCTAAGCTTGATGGATCTGACAGGCAGCAGCAAGGTGGTGAAGGGCAAGAGGCAAAGACGAAGTATGTATGAAATGCTTTTCTTCTCTGACTCCCTCTCGCGATGCAGAATGTCACTGTCTGTGCGTAACATGCCCCTGTTGTTCGCAGGCACCCAAAGGGCAGGGGAGGAGCAGCTGTTTAGGGAGAAGCTGGCGCAGGGTAAGCAGTGCAGAAGGGGGGGTAGCGTGGGATTGTTACCACGCCCAAGGCATAAGGTAACGGTTTGACATGTGGCTCAGTCCCTGACTGTGTAAGCTCCTCAGGGCAGGGGCTGGGGCTGTTGGGTCTTTCCAGGTCAGTGCCTAACAAATCCCACAAGGAGCCTGGCTGGAAAGATACACCCCTTTCTCTTGCTGTCAGATAGGGAACATTTCTAAGTTTGCTTCCTCTGCACCCAGCTTTTCTCCTGGCTGGACTGATGGTTCCCCCGTCCCTTACTGAGCACGGAGCAGGAACTGGTCCTCCGACTCCGCAGGAACACGGTGATCTTATGTTCCCCAAAGCTGGCCCCCCGCTCGTAGCTCAAGGGAGACCGACTGGGCTCTGGGTTTGTAACAACTAGCAGCCCTGTTCCAGATTTCCATTAAGGAACCTGCAGCTTCTATGCCAGGGAGCAGGAGAGGCAGGTGTGGCCCGTGAGAGCCCGCGGTGGCTACAGAGTGTGTGGACGAGAACAGAGGCAGGTGCATGGAGTAGAATAGCAACAGGGGCTGCAAGTGAATCAGGAAAATTCACTGCGCTGAGGGCTGGCGAGTGCACCCAGGAAACTGAAAAAGGAAGTTTCCGCTCTAGGAATTATGAATGGGCCAAGCCCCGGCCCCCTCTTTAACAAAGCACACAGACTCGGAGCTAGTGACCAAGCTTTCCAAGGACGGGCTGTGCTGGTAACTCAAAGCAATAAGAGCATTTCAGCCTAAACTTCCTGCCTGAGATTGGCAGATCCCGGAGACTGTAGCTCACCCTCAGCCCCTCCTGCAAAAACCCTCTGCTTGTCTCAAGCCCAATGAGCCAGGCTGCACCCTCTTTAGAGCCTGGTGAAAGTCAATTGGGCCCACCTGCCAGCGTGACTCAGCAGTACTTATCCTGCCTCTCAAGGGGGGGTTAATAGCTGAGCCTGCATCTCACAGGGGCTGAGGCTGGCTCTGTACACAAACTTGCATGGAAATAACAAAGGGGGGTGACTTAAACCCCAGTTCGTTATTTTGGTGCAAGTCAGCGTGGCATGAAAGGGGCTGCTGTTTGATTTAGCTGGAGTTGGTCATTGCTTTACAGCCATCTCTCTGCACAGAGTTGCTCCGGTTTAAGTAACAGTGCATTTTAAACTGATGTGTGTGGACACTCTCAGATCACTTCAGCAGCATCAGGAAGTGTGCAGGTGCAAGTCAACTGATATCTCCAGTTTTAAACTGATGTAAGAGCATCCACACAGGGGTTTGCACCAGTTTTACTACACTGGCTTTTTAACTGATTTACGTTAAACTGGTCCAACTAGTGTGTGTCTGTGAGTCCTAAGGGAGGCCTGCAGCAGTCGCTTGCTCCAGGGAAGATGTGCTCTCATGGTTAATGTTATAAATTACGAGTCCCAAATGGGTCTCAATTACAATCTTAGCTAGGGGGCCATCCATCAGCACCACAGCAAGGCAATATCTGCCCCGGTGTTGAGCTCGCAACTCCCGTGGGCCCTGGGGCAGAGTAAACCTATCGTCCCTGGCATTGCAGTGACACCCTTCCTGTGCCGCTGGAATGAGCCATGCAGTGTCTGCCAGTGGTGCTGGAACTAGGGGACTGGCGGGGGGACTGACACACCCCACCCCCGCCAAACACCAAATACATGGTTTCCATCAGCAGCACTCCCGCTGTAAAAATTGTTTCCCCCTCTCCCCTCCAGTGCCTGTACGTAATGCATGAAGCGTGGTGATGGGCAGTGCGTGTACAGCTGAGGGGGGAAGCCATCTGGCCTGGAGGACTTTACCCCAGAATATATTAATCTTTGGTGCAACTTCAGAGGCATCAGTAGAGTTACAGCAAGGAGGAATTTGGCCCAATGCCCCCTCTTGTCTTCCTCTCTCCTCCCCACCTCCTTTTTCCCTGACTAGCACTCGCTGGCCCCTCCTGCCAATCCATAAAGCCCCTGGGAAGCTGCACACCAAGGCTTGCCCTCCTGACCCCTTCCCGTCTGATGGTCGCTGCCAGCCCACCCTGCATCGGGGCAGTGTGTGGATCCTCTTCCTGCTGTGTGTGGACGCGATATGGCAAAAGGCGGGGCTTAGAGAGGTTGCTGCCCTGACGGGGCAGCACTGAGGAAACTGTGGGACACGCTGGAGCACTCCTGAGACGTTAAAGCTGCCAGGAGTGGGAAAGCCAGGGAGCCGTGCGCTCCCCTTCTCCGAGAGCTCACCATAGCCCTTCCCATTCTGCCTTGTTAAATACAAACAGCCAGGCTGGGTCAGACCAATGGCCCATCTAACCCAGTGTCCGGTCTTCTGACAGTGGCTGATGGCAGGTGCTTCAGAGGGAATGAGCAGAACAAGCCATCTTATCGAGTGATCCATCCCCTGTCGTCCAGTCCTATCCTCCATGAACTTATCTAGTTCTTTTTTGAACCCAGTTATACTTTTGGCTTTACAACATAACCTTGGCAAGGAGTTCCACAGGTTGACTGTGTATTGCGTGAAGAAGTTTTGAACCAGCTGCCTATTAATTTCAATGGGTGTATTACTGGAAGGGATAAACAGCACTTCCTTATTGACTTTCTCCACACCATTCCTGATCTATCATATCCCCTCTCCTCCGTAGCCGTGTCTTTTCTAAGCTGAACTGTGCCAGTCTTTTTAATCTCCCCCCATCAGAAAGCTGCTTCACATCCTTAATCATTTTTGTTGCCCTTTTCCCAATCCCAATATATCCTTTTGGCGATAGGGCAACCAGAACTGCAAGCAGTGTTCAAGGTGTGGACGTACCATGGATTTATATAGAGGCAATATGATACTTTCTGTCTTATTATCGATCCCTTTCCTAATGGTTCCTAACATTCTTTTGGCATTTTTCACTGCTGCTACACATCGAGCAGATGTTTGCAGTGAATTATCCATGATGACTCAAAGATCTCTTTCCTGAGTGGTAACAGCTAATTTAGACCCCATCATTTTATATGTATAGTTGGAATTATGTTTTCCAGTGTTGCATTTATCAGCATTGAATTTTATCTATCATTTTGTTGCCCGGTCCCCCAGTTTTGTGAGATCCCTTTGTAACCCTTTGCAATCAGCTTTTTACTTAACTACCTTGAGTAATTTTGTATCATCTGCAATCTTTGCCACCCTTCTTCCAGATCATTTACAAATATGTTAAATAGCACTGGTCTCAGTACAGAGCCTTGGGGACACCGCTATTTACCTTTCTCCACTGTGAAAACTGACCATTTGTTCCTACCCCTTTGTTTCCTATCTTTAACCAGCTATTTATCCATGGGAGAACCTTCCCTCTTATCCCATGACTGCCTACCTTGTTTAAGCACCTTGAGGGACCTTGTCAAACGCTTTCTGAAAGTCCAAGTAGACTATATCCACTGGTTCACCCTGGTCCACGTTTGTCTGACACCATCAAAGATTTCTAACAGATCGATGAGGCATAATTTCCATTTGTATAAGCTGTGTTGACTCTTCCACAACATATCATGTTCATCTACATGTCTGATAATTTTGTTCTTTATTATAGTTTCAACCAATTTGTCTGGTACTGAAGTCAGGCTTACTGGCCTGTAATTTGCCAGAATTGCTTCTGGAGACTTTTTTAAAAATTGGCGTTACATTAGCTGTCCGCCAGTCATCTGGTCCAGAGACTGATTTAAGTGCCAGGTTACATACCACAGTTAGTAGTTCTGCAATTTCATATGTGAGTTCCTTCAGAACTCTTGGGTGAATACCATGTAGTCCGAGTGACTTACTACTGGATCACTTGATGATTCTCTGTTCTGTTCATTCCCTCTGGGGCACCTGGCATTGACCACTGTCGGTAGACAGGATACTGAGATAGATAGACTTTGGTCTGACCCAGTAGGGCCGTAATTTATCAATGTGTTCCAAAGCCTCCTCTATTGACACTTCAGTCTGGGACAGTTCCTCAGATCTGTCACCTAAAAAGAATGGATCAGATATGGAATTCTCCCACTCATCCTCTCCAGTGAAGACTGATGCTAAGAATTCATTTAGCTTCTCTGCAACTGCCTTGTTTTCCTTGATTGCTCCTTTAGCACCTCGATTGTTCAGTGGTCCCACTGATTGTCTGGCAGGCTTCCTGATTCTGATGAACTTAAAAATATTTTGCAATTAGTTTTTGTGTCTTTTGCTAGTTGCTCTTCAAATTCTCTCTTGGCCTGGCTAATTATACTTCTACACTTGACTTGCCAGAGTTTAAATTCCTTTTGGTTTTCCTGAGTAGGATCTGACTTCCAGTTTTTCAAAGATGTCTTTTTGTCTCTGACCACCCCTTTTAGGCCCCGTCTACACTTTGTGCTCAGTAAAGCAGCTTTGAATGCTGTAACTCCCGTGGTTACACACTGCCAAGCCACTTAGTGCGCAGAAACTGCGCAGATGCAGCACTCTAAAAAAACCACCCTGACGAGAGGCGTAGAGCTTTCTGCGCTGGGGCTACAGCCCTGCAGTGCCAGTGCAGACATCATGGCGATTACAGAGCTGCGACTGGCCTCCGGGAGGTGTCCTACAATGCCTGTTCTCACCTCTTTGGCCATCGGTTTGAACTCTACTGCCCTGCCCTCAGGTGACCAAACGGCAGCCCCACCCCGTACATTCCTTTGCAGATTTGAAAGTCCCCTTCCTGTTTGCTCAGTGACACATGCAGTGGTCTCAGCACATCTTTCCAGGTGGCCATGCCTGCTCCACGCACCAGGCGATCTCCCACTTGGAGCAATGCCGAGCTGCTGGATCTCATCAGCATTTGGGGAGAGGAGGCTGTGCAGTCCCAGCTGCGCTCCAGCCATAGGAATTATGATACCTACGGAC